ATATTTCTTGCCTCAAAAGAACAGCAACGATTAAACACCCTCACTCATCGCACTCATGTTTGCAAAGGAAGAGAGAATGCAATTGAATACAAGAATTGCTTAAGAAATTATTGTGTATGCTGTTTACACCAAGGAAAGTTTTGAAACAAAACTTGAAGCAAGTCTTGTTCAACAGTCAAGAATGTTATGTGATGTTTAGACCATGCAACTCATTTATTGCTTCAATTTAATTGTATACAACAGGCAAGAAACTGGCACCGTGTAAATGGGCCTTAATAGTCGCACATAAGAAACAGTAACCACACTTCGGTAGCTGGGTGTAGTAAAAACTGCTCTGGAACGCAGGTTCATAGGCGTAATCGGTGTGGTTTCCCTGCGCTCGAAGATGCGTTATCTACAAAGTATTTTATTTCACTAAGTGCATGTGTAGTGATGGCGGTAGGGACCACCGTCGGTAGACAGAAAGTCGGAATAAAAGTACATGATTTATTATAGTGTGTACTTGTTTTAGTGACAATTTTTAGATATTTAATACATATACGAGATCAGATTCAGATTAACATTTTGCTCAAAACGATTATTTCCCTGAGATTTTGAACGATAAATTTCAAAGGTAGTATAATTATGAAATAATAATACTAAAGATTAATAGTATTTATCTAAAATCTTTTTCAGTTTCTTCTAAAGATTAATGAAACACATTTAGTATTTATCTATATTCGTATCATTTTCAGTGTCTTCAATAAAGTTGGAATAAAAAAGTCGGACTTGCGCACTAAGGGTTCCGTACCAATATCTATAAAAACGGCAAAAAAATCATCTCTGTTGTTTGGGAGCCCCGCTTAAACATTTTTTATTCCGTTTTTTAGAATTTGCCTATACTCTAAAAAACAACTTGACAATTTCATAATTTTTGACACATAAGGCCTAGACAACAAAATTACCGCCAAAACTGCATGTGACATTAGCGATATTATAATCCCGGACCTCGAACCGTTTTAATTGCTTCACGATTAAGGCATGTTACTATATGGCGATCAGAAACACTCTTTTTATGTACACAGCCGACCTTGCGTTTCGATTGCTACCATCCGAAAAAACTTAAGTCACGTTCAAGGCCGGCGCATTCGCCTGACCGAGATATCTGATTGAGCGGTCGTATTTGTTTTGGTACTGACCGCGGCCCACCGTTTGACGTAACACGATATAGCGTTTACCGCTTGGATGCGTCGGTTGATATCCTTGCCGGTCGCGGCTACTTTCTTTGCCTTCCATAATTAAATTATTTAATTTTTATACAAGAGTGTTGTATTTATTATTATGAACATAAAGAACAAACGTTCTGAACTCAGAACTTTTGTTCTTTACATTGATAATAGTAATTACGACACGACGTTCTAAATAAGTAAAACACTTAAATCAAATCCACAAATATAGACATTTGGCAATGTGTACCTATTCGTGTGAATACAAGAAATCTTTATTAAGTAGACTTTCTTAATTATAATATCAGTACTATCACATATACTATAATATGTAGATCAGTCTTATGGTAGTATCTAAGATTTAACAGAAAATAAATGAATATATTTGAGTAAAGTAAGATTAAATTAAGTGCCTTAGTAAATCGACTGTATATCAGACTCGGTTTAATTTTAAATAAACTAAATCTTTTACTTTAATGTCATTTATTATAAATCTCGGTAATATCATCGCGTGTCTAAATCGATGTTTTTTATCCCCGCTACCTGTCTCATCCCTCGGCACCCTTTGTAGTCATTTCTTTCTAGCATCCCTTTGTTGGGGATTTTTTGTAGATTGAATTACGCGTTGTGAGGTTGTAGCCATTAGATGCGGCCGCATTCCTGTTTCCAGCTGCTAATTTGGACGTATTAAAGACGGCATATTGATGCTAGAGAGGGATAGTGTTGGTCGTTACATTTCGGGCGGCGTGTTTCCTTTCATTCAATATTTGTTAACAGGGGACCGCGTATTTGTACATAGGGATGTCACAAAGGTTTACGCGTAAGTTCGGTCGATTAGGTTTGCTGTTTGAACATTTATTAACTCGCGAAATAATAATTTTTCGCTGATAGGTTTATTACGGCTATGCCTAGTGCTTTTCGTGCGATTCCATCGCACGAAAAGCACTAGTAATTATAAACAGATTTCTTGTGTACAAAAATGTCTTTCTGATATTTATGTGTGTATTAACCGATGTTCGAACCGAAGTCCCGAGACTATTACCTAAAGCTTCAGATCACGATATTTGTGGTGATAAAGTTAGGCTTGGCACATTTTAGACCGTACTACTTGGTGAAACTTAATTGTTTAATAAAAACCATTAATGAAAAATAATAATGTTTTGATCAGATTAACATATTAAATTTTCACATTACCTACCACACAAAACCCACCTCAGAACCTGAGAAGAACCGGCGTAAGAAACTCAGCTGGACATTTTTTTTAACTTGACAAAAAAATAACAAATGTGTGTACAATTTATTAAATTCCACTTGAAAGAGCCTGGAGCGATCAATTCATTTCCAAAGTGTGTTATCATTCAAATAATCACTAATATTATAATAGCGATTAACACACAAACGTTCCTTACAAGTTTTTTGAATTTAGAATTTAGTCTGTCTGTCTGCCTATCCGCCTGCTTTAAAGGCGTGTATGTACTCTTACTATTAGGATAATTTCGTGTGACGTGTGTCATGTGGTATGTTTATAGCTTGTTAGAGTACTTTCAATTGCGACGAATTTAAAACGTTGTTATAACAATTACGGTCGGCGTTCGTAATTGCTTCTTCACTAATTACAGTTCATTACGTTGTCTAGAAATTATTTACTCTTCTTTACTGCTGATTTAGAACTTAACGTGCATAAAGGCTTGGATTTTCTGAAAGACTTATATCAAAAATTATTTGTATTATCACAAGTTCTATTATTAGACATATATGTGAAAAAATGATAAAGTTTATTTATAACGGGTCTAAATTTAGACAACTTTGTAATAAACATGAAATAAAATTATACTTGTTTTATCCGCTTATTCTTATTTATTTTTTTGTTTTTAGGGTTCCCTACCCAAAGGGTAAACAGGGCCATATTACTAAGACTCCGCTGTCTGCCTGTCCGTCTGTCACCAGGATGTTTCTCATGAACCGTGATATGTAGATAGTTGAAATTTTCATAGATGATGTATTTTTGTCGCTATAAAAACAAAAAAACAACAACATGATTTGTGCACCCTTCGTGCTAGAGTCCGCGTACCACTTTGGCGGTTTTTATTATTTTTTTCTTTTATTTACTATCGGTTCTGTCTTATTTATTATTAACGCGGGTTAACTATATTTTAAAGAAGAGCATGAAATTTTATAAATGTACCCATTTTAATGCCCACCAGCGTAAGGTGTTATAATTTCATTCTTCCTGACCCATTGGTTTAGACTCATCGTTATCAGTTACTCAGTGAACATTAGTTTTATATTGTTTTTCTTTAAATTTCATTTCGTGTAATCCCGTAAAATTTATTTAAAAGCACTACTCGTCTGAGAAATGTCAATTCGTAATAGGGCCACGTGGATGCCCTATTCATACACAGCGGGCCATATATAGTCGCTTTATTTAAATACAATAATTGAAAGACAAGTGATTCACATAACACGCACGCTATTCGTCACCCGTTTAAGAGCTCAATTAGTTATCAAATAACACAGCCCTTATCAATTTAGGAAGTGCCGCCGAAAATCTTATCAACGATCGTTAGTCCTCCAACACCGACATTCCGTGGCCAAACTCCAAACAATGGGAAAGAAACAATGCGTCTGGGCATTCAATTAGATAGAATCTTTCCGTGAATCAGTGACTAAACAATATTTTTGTTTTGTTGTCTATGAATAGTCAACATTCCCATAATGATATTTGTTTGTTTACAGCCTCAATCGCTCATTGTTCTGTATCGATTTCGTGCGAGGCGATCTCGATATTAAATTCCAGTGTTGATTTTCATCATTCTATTCGTCTATTTCGGTAACGGCAAACTACTTTATATATTTCTACGCGAAAATCTTTGTACGCGAATTATATGACACATTTAACAAGGTAACATTTTACAAATTTTATTTTGTCTTTAATTTCTCGACGTTTAACACTGTCCCGTGTTCAAAGTTTCAAACTCTTTCCCTCGGACCGCGGATTTATATAAAAATATAATGCAAAACCCATAAATTTGTAGTAACATTCTATCCGATACTGTTAGTGATTTTTTTTTTTTCAAAAATAATTTTTTTCGTAAATACAACATGTAAATTTCCATAAAGATGGGTAAATAAAAATAAATCTTAGTCATTACCTGCGTGGGTTAGTTATGATAAATATGCAAATGGGTAAGTGAACAATTGTCAAAACGCGATATTGTTGAAATATTTGACCAGAGAATAAGTCAGGTTTCAATGGCAGCGTTGAGACGCCATGTTTAGTGAGCATTTAGCGAGAGAATGTATCACGACGCGGCGCAATCTGAATGAAGGACAAAGCAAGGCCTGCGAAACAACCTTTGTAGCTGAGCTGCTGACATTCTATGCCAACGGTTATATTGAGTTTTAGGTGGCCTTTTATATTGAAAATAATGCCTTTGAATAGCCTAAACATGTTACTTTATTTTTTGTTTTTTTTTTTTTAGTAATTAAACAAGCTTTTCTTTAGACACATGGGTCCAATTCATGTTGTGTTCTGAGTAGCCAGCCGGATTGCTGCGATTTGAAAATTTTGATCCAACCTTGAAGCTGTAGCAGCCTTATATAATTGGCTGGCTGGTGTCGGGTTGCCAGTCTCCGCCAGAGGGTATTCAAAGAAAGACAAACTCGATCGATAATACATTTCATTTATATTAGGTACATCTATAACAATACTTTTAACAGTCTTAAAACGTACGACTTAGCGAGAGGGGTGGCGGTCGACGCCGTATCTACACTATTTACAAGGCGGCCCGGCTACGCGCACGTGAGCGGGGCGAGGGCGCGGGCCGGCGGGTTGGGGGGGGCGCTGTGCCGCTGGACGGCGCACCCGCCGGCGCCCCGGGCCACCGCCTCGAAGAACTGGCGCAGGTCGCTCACGGACCTCGTCGGCGGCGCCTGCAGATCGTGCATCGAAGCGGCCCGCCTCGGCGCGACCGGCGCCGGCCTCGACAGCTGCTCGCTGCTGCGCGCCAACCCGCCCCCGCTCCTCGACAGCGACTCGAACAGCGCCCTCCGCTCCCTTACGGGCACGTACTTCGACACCGCCTCGTGTACGTTCGGCGAGCAGGATCTCGCCCGGCTCTCCAGCGAGGCGGTCTTGCGCCGCGCCGCCTCCAGGGCGAAGCGGCCCCTCTCCGCACCCCCGGCGCTCCCCTCCCACCGCTTGAGGTAGCGGTGCCGCCGCTTCTCCGGGCCCGAGCGCGGCAGCGTGTGGTGCTGCTGCGGGCTAGCGGCCAGCTTGCAGCAGCTGTCGCACTGGACGACGCGCGCGGTGCGCACCGGCCGCGGCGCGTCTACCGCGTCCGTCGACTTGAGAGGGATCGCGTCGAGCGAGAGCGAGAGGTCGAGGCTGCGGTCGGACGATGAGTCGTAGTCGTCGTCTTCCACGACTATGCCCTCGTCCGGTGGCGGCGGGGGAGGGGTCGCGGCGGGGCAGCTGAGTCTCGGGCGCGAGCAGCCGCCGGCGGGCGCGCGGGGGAGGGCGCGGGGGGCAGGCGGGCGTCTCCTGCGGCGGCGGCGAGGCCTTCTCCGGTCTGCGTCCGGTGTCCGCGGCCGGCAGCACGTCCAGGAAACGCACCTGCGGCAGCGGAGTCTGGCCGAGGATCTCGACGCACAGCGCGCGCACCCACCGCGCGTACTCCGCCTCGTTGCACGCCTGCGCCAGAAGCGTAGCGATTAGCGATTGGACTTTATTGGAGATACCTTGTACTACGCTAGAATGCCAAGTGAAAGTTATCGACGGTTATTATCCTTTACAGAACGCATGGTCTTGGGGGCTAACGTATGTACTGTAATACAGAAGATATTCATAACTTCATGGATTTCAACGACATTAAGAGTAACTTATAAAAGTCGAATAACAATAACCTCACTTCATCGGAACTAACAAAACTAACGAAAACACATCGGGAACTCTAAAGGAAATCGTCGACAGGTCCGTAATTGCGCATACAAAACTGGTAGCGCTTAACTGCGAGTTGTATGATAGGGGGAGGACTATAAAAGCGCGCGCCTTTACGCGTCAACACCTCGCAGCCTAGCATTTCATATGGTAAGCGCACCATTAAGAAGGTCACCGTACACCTAGGGCGCCATGATTTACAACGCGCCCATTAAACGCGGGAACCGTGAGAAAGCCGCCTGATCGAGGGGAGTGGGGCCCTTTGATCGTCTCGGCCCCTCGCCTACCGCCCAGCGAAATATTAAAAAAGGAACTGATCTATTCATAAACAATCTATCCGGGACAAAGTGTCGCCAACGGAACTCCGTTATAGGTGTCAATTTTGCACGGTGATATTAAAGCGATTAAACGAATGCGCGGAAACATTTCCTCTTCCAGAATAGGTCCCGGAAGTCCGACAGCAGCCATCAACAATTTCGCCTTTTGTTTCTTTTGTAAACAAATCCCATTCTAGTCTCTCTCATTTAAGCAAACATCACAATAATTAGGCCCCAACAATTGTACCACACACGGCCAGAAGCTTTGGCTGTTGCACGAATGGGCAGGACCGTCCTGGTAAGTACCACAAGCTCACAGAAGACCGACCTGAAGTGGAAGTATAATACTTTCGCATTTCGTCTGGTGAGTGAGGTAGCCGGAGCCCAATTTTCAAATAGGTCGTCAACGCATCTGCGAACCGTCGGGTGTTCTAAGTGATAACCACGTGAAAACGTCAATGGGTGGCGGTTATCACTTAGAATCACGTGAACGGCCAGGTCGTTTGCGAACTTCTCACATAAATAATATTCAATAATCTTCTCATAAAAAAAAGAAACTAAAATAATATTTCTCCTTTATTTGTACTTTCATTCCAATTCTCTACCCAAATCCATTTGTGTGTGGATAATCAGTTGCGGCGTAAAGAAGAAACGACCCATTTTTCCCGTTTATAATGTTTATCACTACAATTAATTTAATCAATTGAAACATAATTTCTAATAGATAACTAGTGATTTGTAACAAATACGAGTATATCATCGCACCGATATGCGTTGATGAGCTAAACATTCGCCTTCAAAATAGGCCGCATATAATATTTACGTAACACACTTTAAGTGTAATAACTATATACTCATTCATCGAATACTGTATACATCAAAAACTTTTATATAACAAATCATCGAATGCTTACATCATATGTGCATATGTAATATCATACTATACGACCTCAAATTACACATTGCTGATAAAACTTATATTTACTTATTTCCTTGTAGCCCTATGTCTACAGAAACTATTTCCGTTGACGAATCTATAGTGCCGGCGCTAACATTAATATGTGGGATGTCATCAGAATTTCGATGCCTGGTCTATAGATTCGACGATAGAAACTGCTATATTTTGAAAAAGAAAACGAAACAATTCTAAGTTCGCGCGCATTTGAAACGAAATAGGTGTGCGTTTTGTATGATAATACACTGACGCGGGGCATTGTGAGTCGAGACAATGCTTTCATAAATTTGCAACAGTTATTGACGAGTCGTCGGTGCGAAGTGAATTCATTTAGACCGCCAGTAAATATTTAACTTTATTGCAAAACATTACCGCGATGCTAACACATAAAGCGCCAACATTACGGGAGTAAGATCGTATAAAAACTATTCTGGAATAAACCGCAACTGAAGTTGAAAAACCACAAGTCGTAATTATGCATAGAAATCTGAGAATTGTTAAATTTATTTTAGAAACATTAACTCCAACTGAGCGCAGTGGACATGACTAACTACATACTTCATCTACCTTATGAATGTATTAGGATGTTTCTTTTTATGTAGTTCTCTTTTAATTTCATCATCTTGATATCTTTTCTGCCTTATCTAATTAATCTATTATTATTTGAGTTCACTTCCATCTCATTTATTTTAAAATGTTTAATACAATCTGGATAGATTGTATTAAACATTTTAAAGTATAAATGCCCAATTATATACAATAGGCTGGATCAATGTACCAAAAATGAGATACGAAAAGAGTTATATAATCGAGTCAGTCAGAGACAGAATTCTAAACACATAGTAAAGTTTGCAACCAAAGTGGGCTATAAATAATTTCACTCGAGACAAGAGTCTGCTCTTCGAAAACGAGGTTCTGATGAATAATGTAAGTTTCTTCCTTACAACCGCTTCCGTTAAACCTACGTGTTTTACAAGGTACGCTACGTTGTACCCACATAGACCGGAAATTCCGCTTTCGGTGGCACACTTTTCATCAAGTTAGTTTCGCGAAATGGACGAGGTTTATAAACAAACTTATACAAAAAAAAACTTTCGTTTTCATCATATACGACGAAGGCATTCTATGAACTATACGCCTCAGAGAAATAAAAAAAAATTAAAAATACATTTCCCGTTTCTCGTGCTTTTTTATGTGAGACGGTGGCAAGCCAGCTGGCGGTTCAACTGATGTTAAATGATAACCGCTGCCCATTGACATTTTCAACTCCCGTAGGGTTGCAGTTGCGTTTCCACCTTTTAATAAAGTCGGCTACCTGACTCACCAGATGAAACACGGACGTATAAGAATTCCACTTTACGCCGGTCTTCTGTGAGGTTGTGGTACTTACGGAACTGTCCATACGTGCAACAGCGAAGACTGTTGCTTGGCCATGCCAAAGTTAAAATCTAATCATATAATTGCATGAAACGATGTTCATCTGATTGATGTAACCAGTGATGAACCTGATTGAGAAAAACTTGCCGTTTCACATTTGCATTCTACGAGGTCCATAGAGGGCACTGGTCAAGAATTCAATTCCACAGATTTGCATTCTAGATAGGAGCCATTTCGAAGTATCTTATTTCAGGATTCTTCGAAATAGTCAACGATCGAATGATAACATCATCGCTGTCCCAAACAGCGGCCTGACTTAGGGCTAAGCAAATCTTAAGTTAATACTAGCTCAGAACCTATTCACTTTATTTTTTTTTTATTGCTAATCTCAAGCACTCAAGATGAATCTTTTCGTAGACAAATTAAATAAATACTTTCGGCGCTGCGGGATTCCAACAAGGCGGGTTCGTCGTTAAGTGTCATTTGTGAGATGTTTCATACTGTAAAATATGCATGATATGTGGTGCCAACCATTGCTAAAAATACAAAAAGGTACGTACAGATTTTCGTGATTTTCGCGTCGGGGGTCACGTCAGCCGCATAGCTTAGTTGATAAAGTGTCTGAGCGAGCAACCCGAACCGCGCCGGTTCAAATACCTCGACGCCGGAAGTTTTGCGTTCATTTATCTACGGAAACTCCCATCTGAATATCGCCTACTCAGCCCGAGTTCGCGTGCCGGGCTCATTTATACACAGGTCAATGCAGGTCAATGCGGGTTGATGCAGCTGTAAAGCGCGCGCAGCCCACCTGGAACGTGGCAACCGGGGCGTCGTCCCGCAGCCGCGACAGCTGGAAGGCGTTCGGCAGCCTGGCGGCGGCGCGCAGGTGCAGGTGCCGCAGTGGCAGCCTGGCAGCGGGGCGCCGTGGCAGCGTGCCGTCGCGCCACGCCAGCAGGCAGCCGCCGCGCACCGCCGCCCTGACCCACGCCCAGGAGACCGCGTCGTCATCGTAGCACTGGCGGAGCACGCCTGGGGACAAGAGGCCGATGAGACGGACACGTCGGATGTGAACACTAACGCTGCTCCATACTAATATTAGTCCTCCCTAACCGATGATGTTTTGATAAAGATGACGCATGTCCAAAATTGATGTTTAAAATTTTTTCCGCCTTACATTATATATGAAATTCTTGTGTCACAGTTTTAGTGTTTATCTCCGAAATGGCTTGAACGATTTTGATGAAACTTTTATATGTATTCAGTAGGTATGGGACTAGATTATTTTCTTATTTTTTTTTTTTCTATCCTGCTGGATCAGCTAGTGACATAATATGACATAATAAATTTTATAATTTTATACTTTATTTCTGATAATAAATTTTATAATTAGAACTTTGTTATTTCAAATTTTTAGGGCAGCCCGATTTAATAATAAAGATTGTTAAGTCAAAGCCACCGAATCAAAGGCAGTTTCATAGGAAAAAGAAAACAGTTTTAACATTTCAAATGTGTTAGTGAATAATATATAGAGCTAATGTAGGATCGATCTAATTCATAAATCCTAATCGTTTCCATAGCTATTTAAGGAAAATAGTACATGTATAACAAGGGAATAAGCCCTTCAACCAGTCATACCACCGCGATGCTTCAACCATGATGAAGCGCAAATTATACCAGCGTTCTTAGTGCCGACACAAAGCTATAAAATTTGTTGCTCCAAATACTGAAGTTGCTCAACGGCCTAGAGTACGGCGCACAATTCTTGGCGCGTAATAATTTAATCAATTACACAAGCGCTTTGCAGATGCGTACAGTTAATTACGGCAAATGCAACACTTACAGATTTCCACATCTGAAATGACCGCAAATACAAAACATCTAATTAGAATCTTAAAGTGAGATGAATAGAAAATGATTGTAATGTATGTACAATTTATTTAGTTATAGTGATTACTTGATTCTTCTTCTTCGTCTTTCTCTGTTCCACTTATTTAATTGACTTCAAAAGGAGTAAGGTTCTCAATTCGATTGTACTTTTTTATGTTTGTTGCCGCAGAACTTTTGCCTGAACGAACCTATTTTGATGATTCTTTTTTTTATTTGAAAGCTTGTGCGTCCCATGGCGACTGGGAACCAATATGGGACCAATATTAATTTCATTAGTATTGGATCTTGGGCTCCGGAGATACTTAGGGAACTCCTGAAAATCAATTATGAAATGAACACTCGTTTGATATCAGTAAAAAAAATATTATTCACAAATAAAAAATGTTACACCCCTTTCAAAGACATATCAAACACACAGTTCATCCAAATGTTTCTCGGTCTTTCTCTGTCTTTACACCATCCAATCACATTCATACTCTTCACTCTTCTAGTCTATTGATTACTTGATAACACTCGGATATCATACGCTATTCAATATAACTGTTTTACGTATTTTTTTTTTAACTTTGCCATTGCTTTAAGATAATATTATCCTGTGTTGTAATGACAAAAACCCAGATGCGAAACAACTATCTGTGGGTCACACAAATAGTTGTCTTGTGTGGGGATCGAACCCACGACCCCTGAAGCCAATACCTTGGCAACTGCGCCACGGAGTCTATACGGAGTTTAAAAACGAATTTAACCTGATAAAATCTGTAAAATCGTTTCATTCAATAATTATTTCCTTGTTTTAGAAACTTTAGATTCGTAAAAATAATAAAATGACATATATATACATTTCATTTATTAAAGCAAAAATCTCCAATAATCGCCTATTATTCTACCTTGACGATATTAATTCCCGCGAATTAAATTAGTGGAATCACGACGTTCATAAAGTGGAGGCTAATCGGATTATAATGTTTAGCGACGTCAACAATGCTTTTCAATGGTTTTTCTATATTTATACGTCGCTGAACCGACGTATTTCTCATCAATCACTATGTCAAACGAGGTTTTTCAGTTTTATGTTCAATGATTAATTTTTTTATCCGTGGTACTTTTTTGTATGCAGCATATGAGGGGTCTAAATGCATCCGCTGGTTGAAAAGACACTTTCTTTATTTGATTTAAAGACGATAAAGATGTTAGTTTATGAATTTCACAGTCTTCAATAAAATTATTTAATTTAACATTTAATCCACGTCCAGGACTTTTAAATAAGGAATAGATGCGTACTTTTAAAAATCTATAGAGCAATCTTATTTTATAAAATTGAACTGCAGTCCAATAATAATAAAGAAAACATTAAAAGAACCGTGATGTTTTACCGCAACATATCAGTTCGTTATCTAGTGACTATCTATTATCTACATGAGTTACTCTTATCGAAATGAAGTGAAAGAACTTTGGATGATATCTGCCTTGCCGATTTCGACCCTTGTTAAACTTATTAACTAAAAATCCCATGAACGAACTGGAAAGAGCAATATTTACATAGACACAACGAGTACATAATATTACATCAATATGAAATGGTATATAAGTAATCGATATTATTATTGCACATAATGTTTGAATATGTTTCTCTTAATGCTAGTGTCAATATTGCGCAACCGGCCCAAGTCGAATAGTGTGTAAATATCTAAACGAAAGTGACACAAGGGAAAGTGAAATTGAAGGGCCCGTGCAAGAAACTTAAGTGTCCATATGTCTTTATGTGCTTAAACGAAGAGATCGTTAAAACTTTGTCGCTATCGAATTTTACAATAAGCTTTCCCAAATGCTAAATTATAATCAAATATTAAATAATGTAATCGTATAGGTATGAAAGTATTTTTTTAGAAATGTATTAACTCTCGACTCGCGATAAATTACATCGAAATGAAAAACCTTTTGCCAAAAATGGCTTGTAGAAAGGAACATTTATCGTACAAAAGATCTTATCCGTCAATTATAACGAGATTCAAATGTATCACCTAATTGTTTAGTAATTAAGGTTATATTCTATGATGTGACCGGATATCACTTTTAGGTCGCCGTGGGAAAAACGGGTAATACAAAAATTATGCATTATTATGTTTTGTAATGCGGTAGAAATAAATGATTTACGTCATGACACCACCAAATACTTTTCATTTTCGTTACTATATTTTATTCATTTCGTTTTAACGATTTTTCGAAAATCATTTTGTGATAGTGTTCTTAATAGAAAAACGAAATAATGTCGATGCTCAAAGCAGAGTATAAGCAAACATGCGATTAAATACGAAGGAAACTTTTTATTCTAATATTTCGTCAAATTCTGTGGGGTTTTCACAGTATCAGATGATATCGGTAAAACGTAAACACAACGTAAAAATAAAACATAAACCAAATAATTAAGAAAAGTATCACTTAAATAAACAATTGTGCTATTAAAATATTGAAGAAGCCAGAGCTTAATACGAACCTCCATGGTTTATAGGACCGCTTGTGGTAATATGCTTGCATTATTTATTACACTAACTACCTGAAGATTTTTTAGCCGTGTTTTTGGGGAACTTACGCGAACTTGAAAGACAAACGTAGCCGTCGACATCGTATGCAAGTCGTATATACGATGTCATCGTATGCAAGTCTTGTATAATAGTTATGCCTAAAGGCTCATTTACATAAAGGCCATTTTCTTTTACATTCATTTCACAAGAGAAATAATTGAATGCAATAAATGAAGCGCAATAATTGACCATCAAGAATTGTAAGCAACTTAAGGGCAGAAGCGTTCGTTAGATTAAGGAGTTCACTTGTTTCGAACGCGGCTCAGCTCCTTATTTTTTCAATGAGGGTATTTACATGATGTAACTAAAGTGATCCCTAAGTATGTGACAGTCTTCTCTTAAGGGATCGCTTAGCCGTAAAATGTTAATTACCCTAGGCTGCTGTTCTGCCGCGCTCAAGTTAATGGAATTTAAAGTTGGTAGTGGCGTTAATTCGAGTGTGTCGCTATTCTTTTCGGGGTTAACGTCGATATACTAAACTACTTAGTGTGTTTATCTACTACAACTTCATGAACAAAAATCATAACTATGATGGTGATTATGATAATTGTTGATGATGATGTTTAATGATACGTATACAATGGCACAGTAAATGTTAACTAACGTTAAATAACGATATCCATTCAAAGTTTTTTTTTTTTATGTGAAAAGTTGCCAAGCGAGCAGACGGTTCACCTGATGTTAAGTGACTACCGCCGCCCATGGACATCCGCTACACCCAAGGGTTGCAGATGCGTTGACAACCTTTTGAAAATTGGGCTCCGGCTACCTCACTCACCAGACGAAACGCGAACAGCCGAGGCTGCTGCGTGGCCCACAACCGTTAAAAAGTTATCAACAAGTTTTACGAAGGTCCCTTCGATTGTTCAAGGATATCAAATCCATTTGTAAAGAGCGATCTGTATTGTGATGTAAACTAAAATCTGAAGTTTTTAATGCACGTAAACACCACACCTAGGACACTTAAATCCTGTAAGACCTAGACTGTAAGGCTTGTGCAAATTGCGTTCGTCGTTATGGATAGCTTAGAGCTTTGTAGGATAGGAGTAAATTAAGTGTCCCGCGAGGAAAAACCCGCAGTGAAAAAATTTACATCCTAATTTTAAATTTCTATCTTAAGTGATAAGAACTGTTCTCAAAGAAAACTATTTGTCAACAATTAAAATTCGAATTCAACGTCGTGATTTTACAACCGTTTTAGCACATTTTGGTCTGACATTGTGTATTCACATTATGAATTTCGGTGTAAGCTTTTGGAGCGGTTTATTTAGTTTTTTAATGGTACAAAACGAGGAATTGCCATCTCGAACTTAATCTTGCAATCGACTCAATAAGGCACAAAGTAGACGTGATAGCTTTGCAGGTAAGATAACGCAATCGAAAAAGTCTAGTATTTAGGGCGAATAGTATTTGAATATGCGTAAATGGCCTAAGTTGATTAAAGCCTTTATTGTCGATAGGATATTAAGCGTATAATACGGAAGCATTACAGTGTATGTCGAAAACTACGCCGTGGAAAGGACTATCCTCTTCATTTGCGGCCTCTTATCTAGTTTTTAATAGCACGTCCAAAACAGATTTGGTTAAGTGTTTCGTCAATACTTTGAAGTAAATAGATCATCGATCCTGTAGTGTTGTTTGTTTAGCTCTTATACGATAATATCTTCTTAAGATACGCCTGTATTTACGACGGTACTGTTTTCTTTTTGACATACATTTTATTTTCCAGTGCGATTATTAAAATATGACAATAGGATTAGTAATAATTTTAGGGTCAGCAAAATTAGTCACTATATTAGTCATACGGAAACAAAAAGATGTTTCTAAACAATAAGTTAAATAAGGTTTTAAAAAACTATTGAACTTAAAAAATTTAAATAAATAAATAATATAATTTTGTTAATAACTTCTGGATTTAGAAATGATATAAGGGTTATGCGACATTTTCCATACTACTAAATTTGCCCACTGCCGTGACAATGTATCAAATACGTTTGCAACGTATGGTCTTAGATATGAAAGTCGAGAATATTAGGAAAACGAGACCTCGATATTCGAAACTACGATTTGAGATTGCTTGAGGATTTTACTGGCGATATTCTGCAGACTTTTTACATGGGCTTCCAATAAAATAGGTATCAATTTTCTAAGAAGTGTTTGAAGCTGATTAACCCGCCAAATTCGAAACTTAAGTTAGTTTAACAGTAAAAAAAGTTTAACAGTAATAAATTAATAAATAGTTAAACAATAATAAATTTAAGCTACTAAAGCTTTAAATTAAATGATAACATTCAAATAATGCAAAACTTTCGCGAACAGAACAACGCAACCAGATGCATAAACCCGCATTATAAATTACAGTCGGCAGATGCCATACTTACTCCACTAATTGCTTGTTTTGAAAAATATGACATTACATAAATGAAAAAACATAATAATAATGCGTCAAACATCAAGCTACGAAAATAGAATCCTTTTGCAATATCGCAAAGGACCTTGAATCATATTAACCACGATACAGTTCAGTGACCTTTTACAGATGTTTAACATTAAATGGGATATAATAATAATAATAAAATATTTATTTCTCACCACAACTAATAGCTTAAAATAATATATTATTTGTTTACACTTTCGTTCCACTTCAAAGGATATATTAATTTATTAGTTGTGGATCGCTGGTGCCTGCAGTAGGTATTGAACCCGTAAATACAGGACACCAGTTCACCACCCCATAGTATCATTAATTGGAAAACAAGAGTAACAAATACTAACATATAAAACGGTATATAATAATTAAAGAATGTAGTGTGTGTGTGTGTGTGTGTGTGTGATAGAGAGAAAGAGTGTGTGGGATCAATTAAATTCAGTGGTCAGAAAGGAATGTGTTGTAAATTTGTAAAAACGAAAATTACAGCGGTACATCCAAAAGTTCTTCTGTTTGGACGTAAGTTTGCTTAAGGAGCCATTCCTGAAGTACGCATTTGAGATAATAATTATTTAAACTGAAGAACAATCATTTTCTATTTAATTTATTATATAGGTATGGACCTAGGAAAGCAAAGAACCTATGACTAAAAGATGTTTTTATTGAAATTGATTTAGCGATGTAATGGTTACGGCGAATAACTTCAATTGAAAAGTTGGTCAAAGTGTGTTGTTTCCGGACAGTGGCCATTACAAAACGCTGCCTTACCGTTAATAGTTGAATTTCTTCATATAATTTAACTGTGGGGTACAGACGAGGTTTGAAGAAGCACACCTTAAGAACTGCTCTTTGAGCTCGTTCAATTAGAATAAAATGAGTCTTAGCTGCGCCACCCCACGTAGAGATACAATAACTTAATATAGATTGGCAGAGAGCAAGGTATATCATTGTAACGACATCTTTATTCGCAGATTTCCGAAGTTGTATAAAGATATATATAAGCTTACGAACCTTGTTTGATAAATTACATATATGCTCTTTAAAGGTTAGGTTACGGTCGATGACTACACCAAGGTGGACAATAGAAGACACTTTTTGAATATACATTGGCGAATCAAATGAATTTATGTTAAAGCCAGCACTAATAGGTTTTACGATTATTTGATGGTTGATACTATTAGAGATAGACTATTAGTGATAGATAGATATAATTACGGATAGAGAAATCAATAACTTTGGTTTTATTAATGTTTAGGGTTAGAAAGTTGTTGTGTAACCAAGAGCTTACAGTATCAAACCCAATTTGGGCAAGTTGGTAAGTTTCTGACCAAGAATTGGAATGAAAAACAATAGCCGTATCGTCAGCGTATGAGAAAATAGCGGTATTTTGTAGGTTGAGATTACAGAGATCATTTATATAGACTAAAAAGAGACTGGGGCCTAGAATACTGCCTTGTGGCACTCCGTAGGTGACTGGTAATTCAGAGCTCGTGTAAGTGTCGATTTTGATGCACTGGGTTCTATTTGTTAGATAGCTACGAAAAAGCGATAGTTGAGCTCCTCTTATACCTACAGATTCAAGTTTTAATAATAAAATAGGAATCGAGACCGTATCGAAGGCCTTAGCTAAATCCAAAAAAAGTGCTGCACATTTTTGTCCCACGTCAAGGTTTTTGACTACATGATCTACTAAATTATGGACTGCATCAGCTGTTGAGAGATTCTTTCTGAAGCCAAATTGGTTAGTCGACAATAATTTACGGCTTTCCAAAAAAGTGACAAATCTGGAATTAATTATTTTTTCCAGTATTTTGGACAAAGCGGGTAGGATGGAAATGGGCTTGTAGTTTTCGAATCGCCCACGATCTCCAGTTTTAAAAATAGGAAGAACAACTGCTTTTTTAAAAAGTTCAGGGAAAATACCAGCAGTCAAGGATAAATTGCAGATATATGTTAGAGGAGGGACAATAATATCTTTATATTTTTTTTTTCTAAAAGCGTTAGAAATACCGTCCCAACCTACTGCATAGCTGTTATTAAGTGACATAATTAAACGTTCAACCTCTGCCATATCGGTTTCTAATAATACAAAGGAGTCAGAGTGAACATCTGGACGATTATATGATGGAGGATGTTTATTGATATTTTCAGCGAGATTTTTTCCGACAGTTGCAAAATATGAATTTAGATTGTTAATCGAAGTTTGTTTGTCATCCGATAGATAGAGAAGATTACTGGTAGAGGACTGGTCGTTTGGTTTATTAATGACATCATTTATCAGTCTCCATAACTTTTTAGAATTCTTACCTGCCTTTGTGAACTGGACTTTTTCATAATCTCTTTTAGACTTGCGTAGCAAATTTTTACAAAAGTTACGATATCTTTTATACGAAATCAGTATGCATTTTTATTAAGAGGATCGTTTTTGCTTTTTTTGTATAGATTATCTCTATGACGCATACACCTCAATAAACCTGGAGTGATCCAAGCTTTGTGACATTGCTTTCTGTTGGAAACATAAGTGCTCTGCATCAAAGCTAAGCTAATGGGTTCTATAAAAAATTTTACAGCCATATCAGTATTGATAGAGGAGTAAACCGGATCAAAATTTATATATAATATTATAATATAATATTAAATTAGTCTACGTATACTTAACTTTATTTCATTCTTGCTTCAATTAGTTAGTTTTTTACTATTTTTATCGTGGACGAATAAAACAGTGCGGATTGTGTTTTGTGCGGTATATACCGTATATACCTGTACTCTACGAGCGTCAATTTCTTTGAAATATATATCATAGAATAATTAACGTAAACAAAAAAATGCGCGTCGTTTAAATTATATATAATTCGCGTTGCGTGATAAGAATCAAGTAAGTCGTATTGGATTAGTTTTTATTTACAATGCGAATAATTTTCTATAAAAAGTTATACATTTTAATATTTACAAGTAAAGTTATATACCTTTACTTGTAAATATTAAAATGAGCTACGAAGAACAATACTTACTAAATATGATGTATTGTGACATCATGGGCATTGCAGAAGACCTTGCTAAGGTTTTGACCCGTGACCGTTGAACTGAAGTTGTTAAAAGAAATCCTAGAACTATAGATGTTTCAGTCACTTATTAAGTATTTTTAAAACATAATCTAACCCTAAATTATAATTATTTTGAAATTGAACACCATACCGCCGATAAATAAAACGTGACAAATACGCAACGTACACTAAAATCAAAATATCTGCCCAGGCCGGCCCATTTGAGAAAGGTAAACCAAGCATGTTTACAACTTTGCTGTTTCGCATAATTATCGTTAGAGTAATAAACACTTTCAATAATTATAAAAATATGCCGAAGTAAACAAAGTGCTTATATAGTTATTGTTTTAATTGGCATAAACATTATAGGCAAATATTGCGAAATGAAATCTAAACTTTTATGAGATTGGATTAAATATGTAGGTACAAAGTAGAATATAATTTAAAAAACCGGAATGCGTTTCTGTGTAATTTTTTATTTTGATATATCCCGTGTCACTAACTGTAAATTCGAATCTAACGAGATCTCTCAAGCTAAAATCAATCAAGCCGTTCAAGCTGCAGAGCATGCCAAACAATAATACATACATACATACATAGGTACTCGATAAACATAGCCCCCTTCTAGCGCAGTCGGGTAAAAATAAGGGGATGATTATTTATCAACATATTTTTTTTCAATAATGCCATCGTTCGTTTACTTATGTCAAACTTAGTTAACTTTAGATTTTTCAAAATGTTATTCATAATTCCTAGAAACACCGAATTCAAAGCGTAAGAAAATGTTTATTCAAGCCAATGTTCAATTTTAATGTAATTCGTATATCTAATTAGTAGGAGAAAACCCCAAAACTGACCTGATATCCTAAAATCTGGGTCAGTAGGCGTAGGTATGGGTCCAGGTGTTAGCTCGGGGCGCAATTTTCTTAAGCCGGCCACCACTCGCGGCGCCGGCGATTGCTCTCCAACAAGCATCGCCTGCTTCACCACAACATTTCAAAAATAAACACTTCACAACACAAAAACATCACTATAACCACAAAATAATCACACGACAATGTCAAATAAATCAAATTTGTATGTCAAAATTGACAGTATCGTTTTCTTAAAATTCGAAATAGTTCGTTACACGTCGTGCGTAACGCATTTTGTCTATCGTATTCGAGTGTTCGCAATTCTCTGCTAAACCAACTACTCAAAGAGCTGGCCTATCAATGAATGAATAAAGCGTGCGTGACAGTGTGAGCTTGATTTGAACTCCCCTCTACTTTAGTACAATAATAAACAACGTAACTTAACACACATGATAAAAACATCCTACGCCATCTGTTGACGAGTAGTTACAACATTATGAACATATTTCATTAATGTTTGTAAAATAAATGCTTTTTTCACAAACATTTTTGTATAAAATAAAAAAGCGTGTATAATTTAGAAATACATTATATAATTATGTATAAACTGTTGTAGGTTTTTATTTCAAATTATTTTCAAATTTGAAAATACTTCATTCCGGGAATGAAATTAACTTAAATAGTAAAATGTAGCGATATTGTAAACATAGAGAACAGTTAAAAATAACAGAGCCACCTTTTGTTTGCACCTGTTTAAGTTTGTGAACAAAATTTCAATGTAGAATTATGGCGCGGACAGATGGCACTGTTTACACTTAAGGACAGTACAACATAAATGAGTGAAAGTCAAAGCCTATACACATTTATAATAGATGTCACTAAAATAAACTGCTTACTCTCATTATTAATTTCAATAGGTGTCGCTACTTAATTGAAAGCAGTGTCCTGTGTTGTGACGTCTAATTTAAGTACTAAGTGGGTATTTTTTAACTTATTAACAATGCAGAATAATCATTAAAGTCATGTGCAAACAGATTGGGAATATGTGAGTCTATTTATTATAGTCTTTATCTCGATTTGAGCAACTTTACATGTACCTAAATTCATAAAACTTCTAATAAACTTTTTATTAACTTATTCAAAATTTCGTTAACGCTGGTATCCTTTAATTAGTTAATTGCTTATAAATCGTTAATTTATAAGAAATATACGTTATAATGTTGGTTATAATGTTTATGTTATAATGTTTTGGTTATAATGTTGGTTAGCTAAATAAAGTTACTTTTGTAATCCTTTTTTAATATTAATTCTTAATTACTTTTGTAATTAATCCCTTAAAAATTTACAAATAAAGTATAATTCCAACTCTCTAATTAGCTCGTTGATTACCTGAGTACATGAGTAAGTACTCAGGTAACCCCAGCAAAGTTAAAATTTGAAGTAATGAGTGGTTATCACTTTTTGTACATTTCATCAAAAATCACGATGGATACTCTCGTATATTAATGTAAGCTATTTTCTTAGTTGAAATAGAAATTATTCTTAGTTACCGACAGTTATATTTTACCTGATACATATTTAATGCTCTAGACTGAGTTGAAGATGGGTGTATAACGATTATTCATTCACTTCAATCTTACGTATAATTAAGTCCATTTCAACTTCTATTTTTAATGTTGACCTTAAAAAATTCGTCAACAATGTATTATTAATAAGTGATACTAATGCACAAAAACGAAAAAGTTGAGTGGTTTGAGCATGTCTTATATGAAGGAAGTCGACTTAAACGACGTGTCTATTTTTAGCGTTCGATTATTTTGTATTTAATAATAAATTACACAAGAATATTAATTAAATTATATCAAATAAATTTCTTGTATTTTAACTTTTTTAAAATAAAGGATTGAGGCGGAGGGTTTTATAATAAATGATTAAGTCGTTTTCCTTGGAATAGTTGAAAAATAAGTTGTTACTAAAACCTTGTTTTGAAATAAAAAAAGAAAATCATCGTTTCATATTTATTACATATTTTATATAGATAATATAAATCACACTGTATAATAGTTTAGTTATAAATATAGTCCACCTTCGAAATACGTATCATAAGGTCGCATAACATATTACAGCGATAATTAATTAAGAAAAAAACACGTCTACGGTTCAAATTTTTGATTAATAACAAAACAACGTCACGTTTTCAGGAAGACGAGATCAATAAGAATGGCACAACATTATACATTTATTCGTTAGACCTTTCCGCAACAAGCGTCGGTTCGAACGAATCAATAAGGCACATATTCGGTACTTTCTTAGAAGCTAACAATTAATAAACATAGACTAAATCGAATTAAAGCTTTAACGTGGAAGATATAATATCACAATGACTGAGTGACATCGCGCACGGATAATTCACCAAGGGCGCCATTTGTTCGCGTCCAAATCGTGCTCAGCGATTGGCCCGTCGCGGAGGCGTTCTTTTTTCGCTGCGTAAAAAGCGTCCAGTTGCCGCTTCGCCTCCTCCTGCTTTTTGTGCTCCTGGTACTCGATTAGTTTCCTCTTCTTCTTCGGCGGCAGGTTGCTGTAGTCCATCGGCGACTCGCAGTGCTCCGGGGGGCTCTGCTTAGCCTGGGCGGGCGGGTCGGCGCTATGCTGCACCTTCGGCGAGTGGACCTCTGGTGTCGGGGATTTAGTCTTCCTCAAGTCCAACGTGTCTCCACTGGGATACTGGACGTATTGGCACTCGTATTCCCCTCCGTACGTCGGTTTTTGTGCGTACCTCTCGTTCTGTTCGTACTCGGTGGGCTCGCTGCCCCGCTTGTCCATAATGTGCTGCCTGATCTTCTGCAGTATGACGTCCTTGGCTTCGGCCGGCACGCGGTTGAAGTGGCCCCTGTGGGGGGAGTCGCGTGGCGGGCTGTGCAGCTTGTCGACTGTGGTCAAGAGGCCGGGGTACTGTTTCGGCGGGGCGGGCTGCGGGTAGGCGTAGCGCTCGGAGTAGATAGAGTCCTCCGCATCTGAGGAACGCTCCTGATCGCTGCAGTAGTGCTGTCTGTCGGAGACCACGGAGGAGGGCGAGGTGGGGGGTGAGAACCGCTCGGGCACCTGTATGGTCAGCGGCTGAGCGGTGATCAGCCGCGAGAGGTGGCTGATCAGGTTGTGGCTGACGCGCTCGTCTAAGTCCGGCACGGACATTATGAAACGGCACGCCTCTGCCGCGCACTGCCCGAAGCCGGCCTGGAACTTCTTCGCCTCCACCACCGGGTCCTTGGGGCTGTGCAGCTTCGTGAGGTGGTTCACCGTCAACTCCAGGATGTCCGCCTTCTCGAGCTTGCTCAAATTGTCGTCGTCGATCTGCGGAGAAAGATAACGGTTATGCCACTGACTGAATGCCCGCGTGACGGGCATCCTAATGAAGGACCGACAGGTCCGGAATTAGCTGGCGCGTACACCGATTGGATGTGACCTCGGCAGTTTATGTAGCCAATAATTTATCTCAAAACCTCTAATCAGTTATACCACCGTATTAAGATTGACGAAAGTTAGTACTAAACGAATTGAGACGTACTAAACGATAAATTCGCGCAGGTGACGGCCGTTCTCACGATACACGCAGCGCACCCCATCATTATAACAGTACACGGAGACAGGCGGATCGTCTCGTTTATTAATTGACCGCCGCTTTTGTATTCCAGTTTCGCGGCGCCCGACGCGCCGAGACCGCGTAAGGACGACCGGTCCGACGCCGATAAAAATACACGCGTGTGAATGGAGGCCCTATTACGTGCGGTCATAAATAAGCGACGGCAATCACGGACTATAACTGGCGTTGTCTAACGCTTACGAACTTCTTAGATAACTTACTCGTAACTTATGGAATCGCATTATCGCCGTGACAAAGTTCCACTGAAGTGTACTGGAATCAATGAGTTTATGGACAAAGTTCCACTGAGGTGTACTGGAATTAATGAGTTTTTGTTACTAAAGTAACGTAATACGGACCTCTAGAGCGCCCACCATGAGGTCCTTAAGCTCGTCGAGGCACCGGTTGATGCGGGCCCGCCGTTTCCTCTCCAAAAGGGGCTTCGTGATCTTCTTGTACTTCGCGGTCTTCGACAGCGGCGCGGGCTCCGACATGTTTGTAATATCTAACAAATAATGAGGCCCAATCAATACAAATATAACCAAACATCAAATAAGTTACATTCAAATGTGGAGTAAAAATAACGTTTCGATTTTAAATACACGATTAACCAATTGGGCTGTCGACGGAACACTCAATAATACTTATAAACCGAACTGACCTTTTTCGAGGTGCGTAAATCCGAAACGCTGCTAGTTCGCAACTGATTTTGTTGATTGATTAAAACCGCTCGGGGGCCCGTCGACTCCGGACGCCCGTGTCCACCCGTGGCCCGTGATGCACTGCCTGAAAAAAGCCTTCTCCCCGCCGCCTCCCCGCGCCCGCCCGCCCCCGCAGCCCCATCCCCCGCTCGCCCATTCATGGCGCGAGCACGTGTGGTCGGACTATCGGGTTTCGACGCACACTTTCCCAGGGATAAAATGTAAGAAGGCTAAAGGCCCATTTACACGGTGCCAGTTTCTTGTCTGTTAAGTTGTATGGTCTAAACAACAAATGGTCAATTATTGCGCGCAATTTATTGCATTCAATTATTGCTCTTGCATGTACAAGAAAATGGCATCGTGTAAATGGGCCTTAACTCGTTAAATATGGTAAGCGCGGAGCTCGCGACTCGCCTGCCTAAGTTCACAGCGGCATGCGACCATGTACACGCGCGCATGCTGTATGCTATTAAGTAAACGCCATTTAGCCACTCAGATATGCACTCCCATGGCTCACAGAAACATATGTTGGCATGGCATGTATGGCTTGTGTATTAATGAGAAATGGACCAAATTATATTACTTTGGTATACCAGAAATAGATAAAGGAGCAGGGGAAATCAAATGAGGATATTGCGGGGCGATATTATAAAACTTACAGCAGGCTCCAATTGCAGGAGAACAGCCCAAGATAGGATGCAATGGGAAAGGCAAAAGCTTGGCAAAAGCCAACACGCATTCCGAATTGACATGTTCTATCTAGCGATAAAACTTAACTAAAGATAATTATCGATAACCTATTTTTATCGATAACAAACTTTAAATTAAAGTATTTTAATGACGAAAAATCGCGAATTTCAGTTCAATTTCAGTCAAAATAAACGTGAAAATGTCAATAAAAATAGTTTCATTTAATAATTAACTTTTGTAATATGCCTGTAATGTGCTTTGTATACGTGATATTTGGATCAAAGAAACTTTAATTAGTGAGGAGATTTTAAATGCAATCTTCGTGTGAAACAGCGAAAATTACTTATTCGTATAGAATTTTTACAGCAATGACAAGTAATTATAAATAAGTATCAATAACTTTGTTAAGTAAAGTCTAAATAATAAGTCTTAAAGGCTCATCTGAAATCAATTTAATGTTATTTAAGTATTGATTAACATTTCCTGCGCGGGGTCTCTCAAGGGTCTGAAGGGGTGAATCTCCTAAAGACTGTTAATCATCACATATACGAATGTCTTAGATTGACTGCTTCGCAAATCTTTCGGGAGTTTCGAATTTAAGGACAAGGTAATTTCGAAAAGTTAACGGTATTTCGGGTTAACCATGACATTAGGACGCGAAAATAGTACTTTAGCCAGAAGAACTGTAAACTGTTAGTTACGAAGAAGGCTAAAGATCGAAATCGGTTAGAAAAAGAGGACAAAGGTATGCAATTAGGACTCCAATTTAAACTAAATAATAGACCATTCGTCGCTGGTGATTAAGTAAGCTGTAATATGGAAAACGCCGTTAATTTTTAACGTCCTAAATCTTGGGCGCAATCTTTGATGTGCAGCGCTAAATAACCACGACAAAAGCTTTCGTAAGAACAACGTAATAAATGGACCGGGTCTTGAGACAATACGAGAGGCGGTGGTGGTGAAGATTTATTTTTTCTAAAACGCGGACCGAACCAGGTAGAGATTTGGCGCGAGCCGCCCAAAGACCCATAGCTTCCATTGTCATTAAAACCTTTTCGGCGGTCGTTCAGTAATAAAATAACGTAACGTAACGTTTGAAACGTTCAGAGTTATTTAGACCATTTAAACTGATTTCAAGAAATAAAACCTACTTTAAATAAGGGTTTTGTTTAATTATGAGCGTTTATAATGATAAAGAGGAAATATATTTACAAAATTCACGAGTTAATTGCCATTGAGTAAGCAATCGAGCACTACCCTATGCTTAAAAAGTGTTTATATAGACTATTATATATTTGACTACTGTATATTTTGTAGACAAAATATAAAGTATTTATTATTTTGTCTACAAAAATGCAAACTCAGATCAACAACGTCCGTTTGGCTTAGACTAAACAATAGGGCCTTAATTTAACGGAAGAGCTATATTGTAATACGGCCTAAAAATAATCTCAGATGACTGTGGTCAGAGATTAGAACATATTTAGATTTACTTGTCGAAAACAACTCGACGCGTAACCGGGTAAATAAGTATCATTATATCCAACCTAATTTTATTTTTAATTGGTCCGTTATATCGCCAGTGTTATTTAAGCGGTCAGTAAAGATTCATTTTTAAATCGTGCAACAAATCGTTACAGGCGTGTCGTTACGTTGACGCGAATTTGAAATGTTATAACACAACACGTAATGACAGCGCGAGGCAAAAACGCGCACAGATCCGCTCACAATGGAGGCTAGATAGCGGCACATTTAATATTCATCTTTACCTGTTCACTTCCCCCGTTTCTTTGTTAAGAATTTACGGGACACAATGGAGTGTCGTGTGCTGCGAACAATTGCGTTCGTCTTGAGAAAGAGTCGACGCGCGGAGTTGACTGTAAAATCGGTTTTATTAACGCCACACGCTATTATGCTACGTCCATTACCAAGTAGGTAAAATCGGACTAAGAATAACGTTTCAAGAACTTATTTGACTGGTTTGTTTTATAATTAAACGTACGAAATTGATACTTAATGCCTGGAATATGAATATTTATTTTGGAGAATATTTATATTATAGAATTTTCTTATGAGTAAAAAACAACCTATATAATAATAATAATCTTTAATTATTCTAAATAAACATACAGTGTACAAAATATATAAAGAGTAACATAAATAAAGAAATAACAATTATTTAGACAAAATGGTCAGGGACTCAAAGAAAAAACTCAAAAAAAAAAAAAATTTATATTCTGTCCTTGCCAGACATAATTTACATAAAGAACGCACAATTTGTTGTATGATGGGCAAAGGCCTCCTCTGTACAAAGAATATTAGGACATAGTCCACCACGCTACCCCACTGCGGATTGGCGGACTTCACACGTCTTCGAATAATTATTTTTGTTATTATTTCGTAAACATGCAGGTTTCCTCACGATGCTCTCCTTCACCGCTGAACACGTTGTAAGTCAGCACTTAAAATTAATTATTTCATTGGTGCCGTCACCGAGGATCGAACTCAGGTTGCTCGAGAAAATTTAATTAGAAGCCCCAGACGATGGGCGATCGGGTCTCTTGAAATTGCGTCATATACGTGGTCCTTACGGAAGTTGAATGGTGCACTTTAACTATACTTTCATATTTTTTATGTGTTTTAGTCTTCCACCGCCTTAATAATTATTTGTAAGTCAACCCAACATATTTCCATCACACAGACGGTCTTGTCGATGTCCATATGTCTCGCTATTATGTAATCAAACCTCTTTCAAATTTGGGTGCATCAAGATGCCCACGGTTTACGCTATTCCTTGATTTGCCTTTGTAATTAAATCTTTATCAAACGGTTGGACTTAACAACGGCCCCACTGCCGCGTATTATGCATCAATCCGCCTCATTAACGCTGAATGCCGGCGGAATCGAGTGTGGGCGTTATTGTTTATGGGCCCTAGGGTGATCCCCGTGGAATAAGTTAATAGTAATGTTTTGTTTATCGAATAACCATACACACAACTTGTTATAACCCTAAAAAGGGCAAAAGCCGTTTAAATATAAAAAGTATATCCGATGTATTCCATAATATATTCCATAATTAAGACGAATCTGATTACACTTCAAGTTTATCCGCCAAGTCGTTTAGAGGGACGAGCATACAAAAGGTATGCATATACAAAATATAATAACTACGTAGTCTCAACACATTACCCTCTATTTGTAATATTTTGTATTTTTTATATTTTAATTATAAGTAATAAGTGGTAATATTTTGGAGCTTCCCGGCAGAAAATTCAACCACTTAACGCACAAATCCTCAAAAGCAAATCCCAGTATTTCGAACGTAATGTCCTTAGTAGAACTATTACTGTATCAATCGAAACGTTCTTAATCGTTATGTAAATTTAATAAAAATTTTGATAATCAAATGGATACACTACTTAGAGAGCTTTTATGATTAATCAGAAAGTAGGTCAAAACATTTCATACATCTTAGGTACTATCTTACAAAATTAAAAAAACTCTTTTGTTATATTAGATTAACTTATTAGGTCGCAGACAAACTTCGCGTGTGTCGTCAAGTGTATAACACAGACAGCTTGCTCGGAAGTAAGCCTCCGTTAAAAGGTTTACGCCCGATTTCTGAAACACTGATCATAGCAGAAGTCAGCTGTCAAATGGATTTTCAATTATTCAAAATTAGAATGATCTTCTTAATGATCAGAATGATCAATTCAAAAAGTTTAACAACCCTTTTCGCACCTCAAATAACATTCGAAAATCTCATTTGTCGAATTCTACGACGGTCAGTGTTTCAGAAACCAAGCGTTAAACTCAAAACTGTAATCTGATCGCCGTATAAACCACGAAGAACTCTGTTATACAGTCTAGTGTTAACACCCTTCTAATTAATAGTTTACGTTAAAACCGAGACAATGGCAGCCCTATCGGAGTGGCACGCGTGGGAAATGATCTCTCCGATCCGTTCTCACATAGAGCTCTCGTGGCATCGCGTCTTGAGTTCCTGTAGTTGAACTAAAAACACGCAGGCAATACTGGACTGTAATGCTAAAGGGGAAAGCTTTAATATGGCGTGCACAAGTCCGCACGTTTACGCCGTTTCG